GCCCAGCTCCACACCTATACCACAGCAGGCTTTGTGTTTTAGATTTTGACTCTACCTCATCTCTAGTATGGTGGTCTAGACTCTAGTTTTACCCCTGCAAGACTGGTATTTTTCTCTTCTTTGATCTGAACTAGACACATGGATGACAGCTTAGCCTCTTTCTTTCCACAGACCGTTTCAACCATTGGGTCCATCTGCCTTCTCTCTTCCTTCTCTCTAACTGTTCCCTGTCCTACCTGAGTATTTGTTCCCCTGACTCATTCTGGCCCTTGGTGTCTCTTGCCTGTACCACTGAAGCAAAAGATGATTGCTTCCTGCCTCACTCTTGTTTCTTTCAGTGCAGTTTCCAGAGCAACAGTTTCAAATGTGAACAGAATGTCTACAGTTCAAATACAGGTATATGACAGAGTTAAAAACCACACCATATTCTAGTGCTTTCCTCGCTAAGTAAGCAAATATTACGAAGTTATTATTTTTGGAGTGCTAGCATTTACACAGACATCAAGAAAGACGTTGATATTCTTTATTGCTCACATGGGACAGTCACTCTCTTCCCTGACACCTAATGTTGACTCCTAGAGCCTAATATTACTGTTTCCACAGAGCACACATTAACAGCTGGTGTGTGTGTGTGTGTGTGTGTGTGTGTCTGTGTCTGTGTGTGTGTGCCCATGTGCACACATTTATGCAGCATAGTCTTTCCAAGTCTACCATGGCCATTAATTGATGGTTAGCTCTAGGCTGGCTCCTATCTATGATATCTTAGAATGCCAGCCCGAATCTCTCCCAGAAGAACTGTGAGGAAGATAGATGCCCCGATGGCCAGCGAAAAAACTAAATCATTTCCTTGTAATTAGCTCTGCCTGGGGCTCCAAAACAGTGCCGACTAGAGACTGGGACACGTTGGGAAAGGGCCTAAACCACTCCATGCTTCCATTTGTTTATCACTGAAATGGGAACAGTCATTGCACCATATAAAATTGAGAGGCTTAGGGGAATGAGTCCACGAAAGCACAGCTACCTAGCATATGGTAGCTCAGGAAATAGATGACACAGCTTAGTTATGATGTTAGATCTCAGAAAGCTGGTTAAGTAACTCCAGTGCAACTGAACAGAAGCTGTGACTGATAGCTCTTTGTGTTTTTTTTTTTCCTAATCCCTTTCTTTTGAACCACAGTAAGAACTTTAGGCTTTTTTTTTTTCCAAGTGAACTGTGTGGATGCCACGAGTTATGTCTTCCTAACTTTTGGTGGGATTCTGTTCTGAAGACTCAGGATAAATAACTTTGCTTTTGAGGTCCAGTGCCATTTGCTATTTGCGAGTATCTGGTGTATGAACCAAGCTTTATGATTTAGTTTGCCTAGGTAGCATTTAATCTTTGGAAGCTCATATATATTCAGGGAATCACAAGGCTGCCTTCATTCATCATAGGATCTTCAGGTCAGAGAACAGTGTCTCCCTCACAGTAGGAGGTCAGCAAATAGATACTTTGGATATGAATTTTAGGACCTGAGGTATCAGTAACACAGCCTGCCTTCCCGCCTACCTTAGCTCCTGAAGAATTCTCAGTTTGATACTACCAAGGCTTTGCAGCTTGGGCTGATTTGTCAGAAAGGTCCAGGTGGCACTCTGTGAATGTAGTTTGGGACAGAGGACCTCATCAGGGTATTTCATGGAATGATAGAAAGGGTTTAAGGAACAGAGTTGAGCCCAGGGAAGGGAATTGTTATCTTTCTGGTACCAGAACAGCTCACCTGAGAGACATTTACTCAGCCCAGTACTGAGCTCCATGTATAATGCTAACCTGATAGCATGGGACGATGTGGCAGAGTTCTCCACCAAGCCTCCCAATGCCAAGGATTGACTTGTTATAAATCTGTAGCTTGGCAATTGGGCCCTCCTTTGGCTCATCTGTACTTTTCTTTCCTCATGGCAAACCTGTTTGCCATTTTTATTCTCATTAGAAATTCTTCCAAGGCGCCTACATGGGAACTGAAAGGCATTGAAATTCTCCTGTGGCCGTTTATCTGCTTTGCCACATGAAGGGAGGATGGACTTGGCTCCACAGTCAGAATGTGGTTTGTAGGACCATTCTTACTTTGATTGTTCCTCCTTTTTTTTGCTGTTTCTCACTGACCACCCTGTGTATACAGTATAAATTCTCAGTTTTCTGATGTCTGTGTACATGCTAACATTCCAAAAATAATAAATTCATAATATTTGCTTATTCAGAGAGGAAAGCTCTTGAATATGGTGTGGCTTTTAACTTTGTGCTAGTCCTTTATTGGAATTGGAGTCCCTTTACCCCTGTGTAGTTGATAGATGAGAAACCCCTACAAGTTTTGCCTTTGTTGCAGGTTCCTGTGGTCAAAACCACAAGGGTTCTGCAAAGGACTGATTGTAAAAATGTAGCCCTGCATGGGACAGCACTAAATATTTTATGTCCCAGGATGTTTTGATGTAGGTATTCTCTGGGGACTTTTTGAAGCTTCATTGTCTTTCTTTGGGAGAATGGCCTTCCTGGGGTATGACATTTCTCTTAAGCGGATTTGGGAGGGAGATATTGCTCAACATTAGAGTGTTTATCTAACAGTACAAGGCTCTCGGTGTCGATCTCTGGTGCCAAAATCAATACAATTGGAATGGCATCCTTCTCTCCACTGGGTGGCAGGCTGAGAGGGGCAGGTACAGACTCTGGGGCTAGGTAGCAGAAGTTGTTGAGTGGTCAAAGTGGCCGTGGTGAACACCAGCTTTTTGTTTGATTGATCAGATTGTGTAGCAAGATATGAATCTGCAGTTGCTTTGAGTTATGCTTGCAGCAGATCCCTGTGGAGAAAACTGGAAGGCAGCTAGATATTCCTACTGGAGGAAAGAGAGGAGGGGTCACACTGAATGTTCACATCCAGCCATCAACGGTGCCTGGAAACCAGAGCAGAAAGACACACAGGCCTCAAGGCAGTACCTTAGAGAGAGTCAGTGCTGGACATCAGGGTTAAAAATCTGATCTTGTCAGTTAGTGCAGAGGCCAGCAGCAGTAGTAGCTGGCAATAGCAGTAATGCAATGTCCTTTTATACTGGGAGGTGGCACCATCTGATAGATTTGGAACACGGGGTCTAACAAGACAGTGTTGGCCAAATCTTTGGCAACTGTTTTCCCAGGAGTCTATAGAGCCCTAAGTGGGAAGGTGAGGAGTGGAAGACATGGACAGAAACTGTTTTGAAGGAGTGGTTGGGTATACAGTAAAGAGAAAGAAAACTGAGGCCAAGGACCTCCTTTATGTTTACCTCTGCCTCTCATTGGGAAGGCTTGGGCACATATATACCTGGGAGGAAGAAGCCATTGCTAGAGGCTGTGGATGCTTCAGATCAGAGTGGTCATCTCCCCTCCTGGTTTGGGCTCTCCACATTCAGTCAGTCCTGTAACTGCTTCAGTGTGTCTGCATAGTAATGGTAAAAAGATGGATGAATTTGTCAGTCACATAGTCAAGGTGGTCATAATAGACACAGTGATGTGCCAGCTTCTGTGTGTGCAAGAGAGTTGTAAAATTGCTAAAGGAAGCCATAGGGAACTCTCAGCACAGCATCTCAGCTGTTGGTTTGTGTTCCACCCTTCCATCAGACACAGCCTAAGAAGGTAGCTATTATCCTCGGGTTTTCTGATGAAGAATAGCTCAGAGACATTTTGCTAATTGTCTGAGGTTCCACTGCAGGTGAGTTTCACCTATGAGGTTAGACATGCTTCATCTGGGTACCTCCTGCAACATCCAGAGTACGGAGGCCATCTTGCTGGCCCATGAGCTTCTTCTATTACTGCCTGGCCAAAACGCTGGTATTCTTCTTTCTCTTGCTGCCCAGCTAGAAAGCTGGTGTTGCTAGATGGGTCCAACTGCCAAACAGGATTCCTGCCACTCTTTGTCTGAACTATACAGTGCCGTGACACAGGAGGACACTTTGGTATGAGAAAGAGCCAGGCACATGGCACTGATCCATAGCTATTTCGAGGCTGATGCCAAGGTCTTCCCGAGGGACTTGATTGACATTCCTTCCCTTCCTCTCATGAGTTCCTGGAAGCAATATGCAAGAGGCCAGACAAGGCTGTGGACCCAGCTGTGACTTTATTCTGTAAGTGCCTCCTCTGGTCTAGGTCAGGCTGCAGTGGCTTTTGCTAGCTACACCTCCCCACAGCCTGGCACTGCGTGTTGTCACAGATGCGGACAGGGAAATGTCACTAAGAAAGTTGTTTAGATGAAGGAAAAGAGTATCAATGATTTGATTTTAATAGGAACTATTCTTAATGACACCCACTTAGAACTGTGATTGGTTAGCATATTGCTATTTTATTTATCTTCTTTGGTGACGGAGGTAGACAAAAAGAGAAATCACGATCTAAGGACAACAGGCTTCTATAGTGGAGTCCCTGGGTCCTACCTTGCCCTGGCCACTTGGGGTTGCATGGAAGCAGGATGTGTTGGTTGGATTTGATGTCAACTTGCAAGCTAGAGTCGTGTGGGAAGAGGGAACCTCCGTTGAGAAAGTGCCCCCACCAGATTGCCTTATGGACAAGCCTGTAGAGCATTTTATTGATTGATGTAGGTGGACAGGAGGCAGTGTCCCCTGGGTGATGGTCCTGAATGGTATAAAAAAGCAGGCCGAGCAATCTATAGAAAGCAAACTAGTAAGCAGCACTCCTCAAATGGCCTCTGCTTCAGTTCCTGCCCCTAGGTTCCTACCTTGAGTTTCTGCCCTGACTTCCCTTCATGATGAACTGTGACCAGGGCATGTGAGCTGAAATAAGTCCTTTCCTTCCCAAGTTGCTTTTGGTCTTGGTATTTTATCACAGCACTAGAAGCCCTAACTAGGATGAGCCATTCCCCAGTGACAGAGTCTCTTGGGCCTGCTCATTTGCAGGCGTGCTGGTGTCATATGTTCACCAGAGGCACTCTTGGGGAAGTGGCACTCCTCTTTGCCAGTGTTCACCTTTTCTGTTCTTGTTCCCCCAGCCTTTCCGCTGTGCTCATTGTCACTACTCATGCAACATCTCTGGCTCCCTGAAGCGACACTACAACAGGAAGCACCCCAATGAGGAGTATGCCAACGTGGGCAGCAGGGAGCTTGCAACTGAAGCACTCATCCAGCAAGGTAGGTGAGGGGCCCAGGCCTGTTGAGAAGCTCTGCTGTCTGCTAGACTTTAACAACTCGGTTCTAACCCATCAAACCTACATTACATTACTTCTTCCTCTTTGTTGGTGTGCCATCACCTTCCTCATTATTCACCAGAAAACTCAAGTCAGAATTACAACTCATTACACCCATTATATGGTGATCTAAAAGGTGGTGGTAAAACATTACCCACAATCTCTGATACCTACAGTGGTGTCCATCAATATTGTTGTCTACTCTGTGCACCACTAGCCTCCATTGCCTTATTTTTCACGACAATTGTCATGTCCAGGAATCACAAGGGAGGATGGATTTGACTTAGGCTCACCGTAAATAATGAGTGAGAAGCTGGGGCTTAGTTTTCACATCCTTCACACTCTTGGATTTGATTGGCAGAACATAGATGTTCAGTATAGCTGGTGGGACAGGCCCTTGGATCTGATTGATGAGGCTATCACTGCTTTTAGGCTTTCATCACTGCTTTGTAAAAGCTGTGCTGAGCTTGAGCTGTTTTATTCCCCAAGTTTTCTGTTAACTTTCTAAGGCTAAGGCATTTCCTAGCAGGACCTGAGTTTCACATTTAAGCTTTGAAGATCAGTGCTTGATCATTATCTTTCATGTGTCTCCATCCCCACCCTACCACCACTCCCATTTTAAGGGCTTGTTAAGAAGCAGACACCTAAATATGTCTTCACTATTTTGGTACTATTTGGACATTAGACTTCTCCTAAGCATTACATGAAGCAGTTTATTCCCAGCTTGTAACATATGTGCATCTCATTCGAAGGTAGATTTCTTTAAGTTCTCACTTGATCATCAGTACGGATTTGAAGTCTTCTCCTATACAAATGTATGTTTTGTGCTGTTTGAGAAAGATGTACCTGGCAGTCCCCTGATTCCTGCCCCTTGACCTATGCTCAAAGACTAAGTCAGCAGTCATAGGCACTGAAGTGTGTAAGGTGATTCGGTGCCAGGCTTCATGAAGTCATAGCTCGCTTCTAAGAGGCGTGTGATATGATGAAGTGGAGACTTAGCAAAGGTCTGTTCTGCACAAAGCACCCTATCGGATTTCTCTAGGTTCTCTGGAATGCACATAGGGTTAGGAGCCACACAGACCTTAACTGGGTTCTCTGCACAGTATGGCCTTTGGAACAGGTGCTTATCTTCCCTGAACTTGATCTTGCATTCAGAATCATCCCAGGGGAAGCTAATACCTGCCTCAACAGGAGTTGCAAAAATTAGCTCTTATTCTCTGGTAGCTCCAGCTATTTTCTGACATGAAGTAAATGCTTGATGAATACCCGAAGCTACGATATTTGTCTATAGGTTTTCTTAGGCACATGTCTTTCAGCCTCTCCTGTGTGGGCAGCCCAGTCTCTGAAACTCAGTATTAAACTTGGTGATTTTATTGTGGCACTCATTGGCATTCCTACCTGAGATGGAACCTGCTTATGCTTTGTTCAGTAGCATGGGGACTAGGCAGCTCCTTTTAGGGACCTGTGTTCTGATGGTGTGACTAAGGAATTCTTCCCTTCCACATGAAAGCAAGGTCCTGGGAGGGCCGTCAGTTGCTTCTCACAGTGGCTGAGCCCTCTCTGGAGCCCCCGTCGGAGAGTCACTGAAGTGACAGTAGATAATACGACTAGAGGAGAAATGACAGGAGGTATGTGAGGAAGGCTTCAGTTTGGGCTTCTGCTGAAGTCTTTGTTATTTTGAACTACCGAATTAGAAAAAATGTAAATCTGTATCCATGGGAGCACATGCGTATCGTATTATTCATGCTAATCTCAGGAAACAGCATAACAGAAAACCCAGAAGCTCTTAAATAGCCCCAAAGTCATCAATTTAATTTTGGGACACGTTTAAAATGTCTAAAATCCAGACTCAATGAGTTACTGGTAGATGGTTCTAGTGGTGTGCTTACCAGGGACTTCTCATTAGAGTTCAGGATACCAGCCGGCTAATGATGAACTTGGCTTGCTTCCTCTGCTGTAGCTTCCCTTTGCTGTTTTTCTCAAGGATCCGGGGGAGGCTAGGGTGGGCACAGGATCTGATAGCCCTGAGTCCTGTGGCCAGGTGTGATCTAGCAGCGCTTCAGGTCACTAGGGGTAAAACTTTCTTATTCAACAGGAAATGCGAATATCTGCAGGAACTCCTAGTCCTCATTTAACTTACTCATCTTGTAAATTTAAACTGTTCAGTATCTAAGTTCCTTAATGAAGCTGCTTTCTGTGTAGTGATATTTTGTTTCTGTTTTAACAAATAAAGCTTGCCTGAAGATGAGAGTGCGGAGCTAAGCCCCTCGAGGCCAGGGAGTGGTGACACACCATTAGTTTATTACATGGGAGTTAATCCCCCCATATAAAGGACGAATATAAAGGTAGAAATATGAGACATGGAAGTACGCTAATGTGACCATTGAAACACAGCCATGAATTCCTCCTAGCTCCTCACATCAAGTAGAGTCTATTTTATTTAATTTCTTTTATTCCATTTTTTTAAAAGAAGAAAACAAAACAAACTATCCTTTTTCATTTTACATACCAGTCTCAGTTCCCACCCTCTCCCCTCTTCCCATTCCCTCCATCTACCCTCCAACCCCAACCCCCATCCACTCTCACAGAGGATAAACACATTGCTTTGGGGAAGGTCCAAGGACAGGATGGTCCCTTTCTTATGAGCACTGGTAGAGGTAAAGGGTCTCTCTAGTGGCTGCTGCACTGCTTCTCTGGTCTCTCAGCTTTCCCCCTAATAGCTGACTCTGGGTTTTTATTATTAAGAACAATTAGACTTCATGCTGCTCCAATCCCTGAATGCCGGTACTAGTTTCCCAAAGCCACTATAGCAAATAACTTAAAACTATGCAGGTTTGGATCTTTCAGATACAAAGGTCAGATACACAAACTAAGGCTCACTGAGCTGAAGCAGAGATGCTAACAAGTCCACAGGTGGTAGGGAAACATCTGCTTTCTGACCTTGTCCAGCTTCTAGAGGCTTTGCCATAACTTGGTTTGTGGTCCCTTCTCTTCAGCCTTCGAACTCAAGGATGCTCAGTGGAGTTTTTCTCATATCTCCTATTTGTTCTTGTGAGGCTCCCTTCAATTATATTAGATACATTCCATGTCCCAGAATGATCTTCACTACAGAGTCCTTAATTGAATCACATCTGAAAAGTCCCTTTTAGATATGCATGTGTTCACATGTTCCAGCGGTTAGAATACCCATTTGGGGGATCCTATAGTCTGCATACTGTGCTGTAGCCTTTCATGAGGATATGAGGATTGGTATCTTCACCTTAGTAGAAGAGAGTAAGGAAGCCCGCCAGACTCACACGATCTGCCTGCCCGCCTCATGTTCCGTGCCCTTCCTAGACTCATGTTATTGAACATGAGATGGAATCTTCCGTAACAATCAGGCACCACAAAGAAGGTTTTTAATGGAAAGCCTCTAAATGTCCAGCAGATTTGATTCTGTAAAGAGCAAGGCTGCCATGGTAAGCTTTTAAAGTTGCTCCTTAACCTCCTGCCTTTTCTCTTGGTTAATGAGTCCAGGTGAGGAAATTGTGGTTGGCCATTTGCAACTTTACTGAGCATTTGATGCCAGGGTTGAGAATAGCTCACCAAGCCTTCTATTGACCTTTACTGTGCACACTAAGAAATTAATTAATTGAAGTAGAAATTATTTCTCTCTGCTCTGATGTCAATTAAATGGCATAGTTATACATGCAGGTGAGATTACATATTTCTATTTGTTGTTCTTTAATTAAAGTTGGTATGGCAAAGGTTGAAGTTTTAATTAATGCTGGGCATTATCATATTAAGTTCAATTTAAACATAATCTGAGGTTGTTTTTCTCCCTGAATTAGTTTTCCCTAAAATAGTATTCTAGTTTCATTGTGAAGCCTTCATTTGACCTCAGGAAGTTTGCTGTTGGTTGTTGCTGTGTTTAACTCTTTCAGGGAAAAGTGGGGTTGGTCTAGCCATGAGCAAAGGTGGAAGGTCTTACTGAGGGCACTTTTTCAAGAATGATCATGGAGGAAGACAGCAGGTGGATGACTACTACACGATTACAGGGAATGTGTATCAGTCACCTTTTGTGGCTGGGATAAACAACGCAGCCAAGCGCAGCTTCTAGAAGGAAGAGTTCATTTTGGCTTACAGTTCTAGAGGGAACATCCATAATGGCGGGGGAGGCATGGCAGCAGGTGGCTGAAGCAGGGAACTGAGACATCACATCCTCAACTACAGGCAGGAAGCAGAAAACTGGAAGCAGGACAAGGCTTTACCTTTGCATAGCCGCCTCTATGATGTACTTGGTCCAGCAAGGCTTCACATCCTAAAAGTTCTGTAACCTCCCCAAACAGCACCACCAGCTGGGGGACACAGTGTTTAAATACCCAAGTCTGTGGGGACATTTCTCAATCAAGCCACCGTGGGTGGTTAAAAGGAAGCTTACTTATGCTCCTGGCTAAGAAAGAACAATGCATCTGGTCTTGTCTACAACAGAGTAGTGTCTTTGAGATTCTGAAAGCAAGCATTTACTTAAGAAGTTGCTTTATTTGTAGAATGTTTTGTAACTTAAGAATTTGATGTCCATTTCTTTCCGGTCTTTCTGATGGTGACTAGCGTCACCCAGCTTTGTTCCTCTTCTTTCTTGCTTCTACTGTATTCTCTTAAACCTGCCCAGGATCAGGGAACTGAAGAGCAATGAAGGTGGAAAGGGCCATACTATTAGCTTCCAGTTCTGCAATAGACAAGAAACTCCCGTTGTAGACCACATTCTGTGCAGATTCCACCCACATGGAGCTGGTTCAGGAGAGGGCATGTGTTGTAGATGCATGTGACAGAGGAGGAGACTGAGTGATGCAGGCCCCTGAGATAACCCGGCTCTTAGAAAATTTATTCAGACAAACTCAGCATCAGGACAGAATTCCTTGAAATTAGCAGTAAATAAATGAATATGGCAGCCTGAGACATACTCCTCAGTTCAGCTTCTGGCTGCTTAAATATAAGCATCCCTGTGATTTGCTCAACTCACAGAGGCATTGGAGAAATGGGGCACTTTTGGGCATCACTTGGTGCTCATGTCAGGGATATAAAAATGATTACTTGTAAGGCTTCATGATTAAGAGTAAAGGTAAGGAACTGGTGCAAATATTTGAGTCAGAAAGATCTTGAGAGGAGAGTGAGGGTATCATTCTGTCCAGGATGAATTTGATAAGAATTATGGCCACCATTGTTGTTTACTTCACAGAACTCAAGCTGGTTACAACCTTGGCTTAAGGCAAATACTACTTCATAGTCTGAAGCCTCCATTTAAAATGAGATAATTATGCCAGTATTGTTAGGAAGTGAGCATACCTGATGTCTGAGGTGTTGGCCATGCATACTCAGAGAGTAGATATGTGTTACTCTTCCTGCTATTGCTATTGTTATGAGAGGAAAACAGTGTCCATTGGGTTAATGACTGATCTGGGTATGTGCTGTGGCAGTTATGGGACTGAGTTGGGGAGCAGCTTGCCATGGCATGAGGCAGGATTAAAAGAGCAAGCCAGATAGTATTAAGTGAACATTGTGACTTTCAAAGGCAAACAGAATGCAGAGAGAGTAGTTAAGGAGGCAGGGAAGAGCAGGCCTTCCATGAAGTTAATGTTGAGTTTCATTGCTTTCGGGAGATAGTCTAAGGGTGAGATTAGGGAACAAGGGCTATCACTGGGAAAACATGGGGCAGGAGAAGGTGAGACATGACAGCTCCCCACTGGCGCATGAGCTGCTGGAACTGCAGAGTCACCAGGCTGCAGAAACTCAAGCAGGGGAACTTTGGTGAGGGCATCCACTGTCTGGACCCAGCTTCATGTGGAAGCCCAACTCTGGCCTGGAGAGCTGGTCACCTAGCACGGGGACTGCACTTAGCCTACTCTGGCTAGACCTTGCATCTCCTGCTAAGAAATTGGTGGCCAGTCTCCAATTTAATGCTACTTCTGCTTTAATTTTAGTTTAAGTCTCTTCTGTGACCTTACTGTTTTGCTTTTTTTTCAACCTTGAGTTTTATACATTATCCCAATTAAAGCATCTAAACACTGCCTGGAACATGTGCACAATTTAATTGGTTCAATAAACAGGGACACTTCAGGATGTGAACGACTTTTTAATTTATTCTTTACTGGGAAACTCGCAGGGGAATTTATGCTCGCTACTTAGCTTCTCTTGGAAAGGGTTTGAGAACTGAGCATCTGATTGTAAGTAAGCATCTGGGGCAAAGGAGGTTGACAAATCAACCTCTGCTCTTTAGTGACTTAAAAAAACATTCTTTGCAGATAACTATATGAAAGATTGATTTTAGCCTCAATCCAGTTGGCCAGGGGGATTATGTTGCTCGTCTCTCTCTGGCATTTAAGATATCAAGCTGATATTAGGCTTTCTGCAAAAGCCTATTCAATAAATAAGAACAGTGTATTAAGTTCCAGAATCTTCCCACTGAAAGCTGATATACCATTGCTGTTTTATTTCAGTGCTAAGGTAAGCTCGAGTGACTGTAGGTGCCGGACACAAAGTAAAGCACTCTGCTGATTCTTCCATGTTTGGACAGAAAGAGACAGCAACATGCCTACTTGCTATAAACACTGCTGTTTTCCTGTCTCTGCTTGCAGGTGGTCTGAAGTGTCCTGTTTGCAACTTTGTGTATGGTACCAAATGGGAGTTCAATAGGCACTTGAAGAACAAACATGGCTTGAAGGTAGTGGAAATTGATGAAGACCCCAAATTGGAGGTAACACTTTAGGTGTGGTATGATCTCAACATGTTGAAACACATGTGGCAAGTGAGGTGAGCCCAGGTGCTGGGCACAGTCTGCCCTGGAGAGCACTGGATGTGTTCCTTGGAAATCTGCAGCCATTTCAGGTCATAGCTCTGGGTCCCTCTGAGTGAGATCTGAGCCACCTATGTGAATCTCATTCCAGGCTATTTGAGCTTTTCTGGGAGTGTTGTCTTTGCTTCTCCCGCTCACAAACCCTCATTTAGATGTTGCTTTCAACAGAATAGAAGGCAAATGTTCTGTTGCTGTCTTCTCTGAGAGAACTGGAAAGACCTTTATTTATTATTCCCTGACTCCAGGTTCTTCTTTTCCTCTACCAAATGCTCCTAGTCCTACCCACTGATTGTTTCCCTAGAAATTTGCATCTGTCACCATTCTCACAGCCAACAGCTACCAGATGCCACTATCATGGACAGATTGCAGTCCCTCAAGACAGGGCTTCTCAAGTCAGCACTACTGATGTTTTCATCTACATAATTCTTTGTTGTAGAGGATATGTCTGGACCCTATAGGAAGTTTAGCAACATTTCTGGCATTTTCCTACCAGGTACCAGTAACATCACCCTGCCTCTCTGGACCTCACGGAGATAGCCAGCTGTTTCCAGACACTGCCAAGGTTCATCCCTCTCTGGCAGTCACAGTCACCCCCAGCTGACTTGTTGACTCACAGGGTACCTACGTATAACTGGTCAGGAGTAAGGTCTTTGAAACAATTCATAGCACATAAAAATAATGAAACACTATGGCAGTGTAGAGATTACTTTGAAATATAAGGAAATCGTGGCTCTATAGAAGAACGTATGCTTCTATAGCTCACCATGAACTTGGGAAGAATGGAATGATCACCTTCATAGATGCAAAAAGGCTTTCAGCAGAAAGCATTGTTCACCTGTTAAACAGCTTCAGTAGAGTTTAATGGGTGCTCCTTAAGATGACAAAAATGTATGTGTCTTGGCCGTAAGCCAGTGTGTTATTTCATTTGGAAATTAGTACTAGAGGGTTTCCACTAAAGTCAGAAACAAGTAACTATGGAAACAGTGTGTTGCTGGATACCTTAAGGCCAGAGACAAAGAATTGATGAGTGCTACAATCTGGTGGACTATGCTTAATCTCTGAAACTATTTCCTGTGTGTGTTATAATTGAGCAAGTGTGGGAACATTCTGTGTATAAAGAGAACTGTGATTTTACTCTTGGAAGAAGATGTTACAATAAGCAGAGGCCAAAGCTAGATGGAGCTTTGGTGCCAACTTCGAGTCAAAGAATCACTAGGAATTCATGTGGCTTACTGTTGTTGTTATTATCATCATCTATATGATGAAAATCCCTAATTAAAACAAAAACTCAGAATCCTCAATGCTGTAAATTCTAAAAGCTTTTGATATCAGTATACCACCCACATGTGGAAAATTCCACATCTAGCCTCATTTGGAATACTTGTGGAGGAAACAATGGTTCTCATTTGCTTCAAAACCATCAGGGGTAGAGCCACAGCAAGATGGCACAGTGGGTAATTCATGCTCTGTATAAGCCTGGTGGTTTGAGTTTGATCCCTGGAACCCAGACAAAAATGGAAGGAAAGAACCAACTTTGCTAAATTGTCCTCTGACCTCAAAATGTACACTGTGGCCTTCACATGCACACACACTCACAGACAAATCCAAGAGCATGTCATGGAGGATGTAGGACCATAGATGGCACAACTGATCATGAGTTGATAATTGTTTAAATCAGGCAATTGAGTGACAGGTTTGAGATGACAAGACACATACGTTTTTGTCGTCCTACAGTACCGCTCTCTTTACTTCTATATGTGTTTGAAACTTTATAAATTAAGACTAAAAAGGGTGAAGTTTGGAGGGACAGAATTTGAACTTGTCTCTGTGTCTATGGCATTTGCCCTTGTTGACTGTTGTAGCCTTAGTGTTCTCGCCATACAGTAGGCTGGTAGACTGAAAAGCTGACAGAGGGAACACCATGTACAATGCTGGAGCTCGTGCGGCAGATAAGCCCTTTGTGTTGTTGGTGATGGCATCCTCAGTGTCCCATCACCATAGGTGGTGCCATCATTATACTCCTCAACTCCTAAGTTCACACTCCAGAAATTGTTGTCTAAAGAAACAGATATTGGAATACCGACTCCTGACAGGAAATCCCCCCATCTCAGTCAGTACTTTCAGCAAGTTCTAGAACTATTAGCAGAGCTATGGCCCTCATGAAATAGTACACACAAAAATATGCCTTTTCCTCTAAGTTAGGCAGTTAAGCAGTGAGGAAGTTGGGCTCAGTGTGACCACCAGTAGAATAGCAAACACACTGACTTCCTGGCAGTTTGAGTTGTCACTTAGAAGAGGCATTACTGAATGTCATTGTTACCTGTGTTCCCCAAAAGAACAGCTCTTTCACAAGCTAAAGCCCCTGGGTCCATAGTTGACTGATATACTCCTTAGTGCAACTCAAAAGGGGAAATGTTCTTTTTATTAATTTCTATATCCATTGGATATTTACTAGGTGTCTCCTTCGTGTCAGGCAAGTATAATTTGAGTTTGGTCAGTTGGCTGTGGAAGGACAATTACTTGTTACTCTGAAACTCTGTGTCAGTGGCTGATGGATATTGATAGAATATAATGTTGACTATTCTATAAATTTTGTCCAAAAACTACCTTTTCTTTATTAGTAAGATCCATGGCCCACACCTTATGGTATTGGCTGTGTTCCTTCTCAGAAAGAGATCTTTATTCTCATTCTGTGACTGTATGCTTTCTCTGTTTCTTCCCTTGAGGTAGAAGATATCTTTGAACATCACTTCAGCCCCTCCTCCACTCACATAGCCTGATATGCCCCTCTACATTCTGTGTGTAATAAATTGATGGTCATGTAGCTATGGTTTGGTGGGTTCCTACTGAATGGTAGGACCTGTGCGTACTTTACATGCTAAGGAACAGTGCATTTTCTCCTTACTTTCTCCCATGGCTATTCCTTTGCCTCTGTTAGCTGCATGGCCAGAGACCTCAGTGTAAGGGACAGATAAAAGACAGTGTTAGGAGCAGTGGGAGGAGCCTGTAGAAGCATATATTCACTTATGTTCATTATGAACAGTATGCTTCATTTTGTATCATGAACATGGGGAAAAACAAGCTTCCGCTCAAAGTAGCCTTATGACATCTTGACCCTCGAGAGAAAATGTTTTCCCTGGGAAAGGCATTTGTCGGAGCAGATGGCTTTTCAGGAGAGCTATGCCAGTGATGTGTGGAGTGCTGTTCTCCTGTATGTGTTTATCTCATTCTGGAATTTGGGGGTTGCTGTTAATCTTTTGGAGGGATGCTGAGACGATGATGTTTTTCTTTAGCCAGCAACAGAGACTCCTGAGGAGCCCTCCACCCAATACCTCTACATCACCGAAGCTGAAGAAGATGTTCAGGGGACACAGGCAGCAGTGGCCGCACTTCAAGACCTGAGATACACCTCTGAGAGTGGTGAGGGTGCCCCGACTTCCTTTCTCACTCAGTGCTGCTCTTTCCATAGCAAACAAACCGGGATGTCTGTCTGTAAATTCTTCAGAATGAACCCAGCCACTGTGGGGCCCATGTGGATCACACTTATTTCCAGAGCAGTTTTCTGTGGGGACAACCTTGACATTCTTACTTAAAGGTGGATATACTTATATCCACTGTATATAGTGATGAGAGTCCTCCATTTAGGTAGCAGAGTTGGAGTCTGGGTCTCCTGACTTTCCTCCGGCAGTTCCTACCACTGCCTCATGTTTCCTCATGGCCCTCTGTTCTATGGGCATTATCTTAGGGTCCAGAGTGTCCAGGCAGGTGATAACAGTGGGTGACTGGAATGTGATATACTGGTAGGTCACCCTAGGAAGACCAATATACATCTGTATGCTCAGGATCACTCATCTGTCTCCATTCTTCCCAGAAAGCCAGAACATATTTTTAAATCAAATGATAATTTTGAATTTTTTGATCAGTTTACAAACTGGACACTAACCTTGGAAGCCGTTTTCCCAAAACTCTGGGAATGTCAGCGCACATGCACCTCAGAGACTGAATCAAGCAAGCAGGATTAATGGGAAAGTACTGACAACAAATGGTAATGGGAGATACGAGGAGAAAAGTGCTCCTGTCCTGACTTGAAATCCTTCATTTCCAGTCTTAAGAAAGCTTCATCCAAACTCTCATGGGCATCCATTTCCAAACAGTTAACTGCTCGCACACTAGAGGGAACCAGGGCCACACGTCTAGAGTCAAGGCCATGCTGCGAGGCAAGACTCCAGCACTGAATCCCTGTTTGAATTTGGGTTTCTGTTTCAGTGGTCAGTGATGTCTTTATTTCCCATGAGCATATACCCAGTTGTCCACCAGTGTGTTCCACGGAGGGTCCATGAGCACATGCCTGCTTGCCCGCCAGTGTCTTTCTTTGGAGAGTCCATGAGCGTGTCCCCATTTCCCAAATAGTGTTTATTTCCTTAAAGAGTCCATGAGCGCATGCCCATGTGCCCACCAGTGTCTTCCCACGGAACTTCAGATACTGTTCCATCTTTGTCACTCGACAGATTAGACCTCCTGCTTTACCTCCTGGCTGCCTAGTTGTCTTGCTTATTTGCCCCTAGGCTGTGTTGTCCTGGCTAGATTCTGCGGGTATCTGCAGAGGCTGCGTTTCTCACTTGTGCTCCAGTTTAGCCTGGGTGCAATCCCCTCGTGGAACTCTTTTTGCCTAGCTCACCCCCACCTTCAACCCTTAGATCACTTGCCATCTATTAGAATCCCACCAAACTTATCTTTACTGTCCCCTAACTGCCCTGCAATACCATGTGTTATGATGGTTTGCTTACACATGGGTCTCAGCAGCCTGTCAGCCCAGGAAGGATGAGTGTGTGTGGGGGATTATACTTCATCTGTATTCCCAGTGGGAACCACAGCTCCTGGCTGACTAATAGTTGGGCTGGATAATGATCAGGGAGGGAGTGGAGGAGGAATTAAAATCTAACCTCAGTGACTCACCAAAGTAGACATTTTAGTCTTTGGAATTTAGAGTGTTAGCTGCAAGGCACATCTGAGTCATCTCCAGGTACAGGTGTATTGTGGGAAAGGGGGAATGCTCTTGGTATATTGTGAATATATGTAGATCACTCCCTCCATCTCAGGCCATGTTGTACCTACTACACTGATCATGTCAAAGTCTCTTTCTCCAGTCTCTTATTGGTTGATTCATGTTGGCTCATGGCCTGCAAAAAGCTTGCCTGTGAGGGTGTAAACATTGGGCAAGACTTCCTGATATGATGAAGCACAGAGACCAAACAGTAATTTCCATTGTCGTGAATTAGTGATCTGGGTGAGGGTGTGCTCAGGAGGATTACAGATGGGCAGCAGATGGTGAGAGAGAGCAGGAAGGGTGTGCCAAGCTGCTGCCCTGATGGTGTGGGCCCCTGTCTTCTGACAAGATTAAAATGCAAGCAGGCTTCAATTGGCTTGTAGTTCACAAGCTCACTGGCTGGATAAGTAATACATTCTTGGGTGTTCTGCCTGCCACTTGGCATAATTTCACTGCACATCTACGTGCCCTCAGGAGAAACCTCTTCTGTATTTGAACATGTCAGCTGGTAATCCTCAGTTCTGACACGGAGGGGCAGTTTGTGTAACCACATCAAGATTCAGTTCATCTGGGCTTTAGTTCCATGTTTGTGACGCCATCACATCGATGACCCGAGGCAAATCTCTGCTCTTTGTGCCCACGTGACTTATACATCAAAGAAAACAACGAGTATCATATCATCATGCCAGTTGCTTATGGTTCCAGGCAGGCCTTGAGAGGTTCTTATAGAAAACGTTTAATAAATTAAAAGGTACCAAACAAGTTATTTCTCTTGTCTGAGTAAGTGATTTCTGAGAACCCATGAACTATTTGGAGTAGGTGTCACTCCTAGTCTTCACTAGGACCCAGTTTGCGTTGAATGCTATTCAGTGCCGAGAGCTTATTGATGTCCTCTTACTTCTTTCCCTTAGGCGATCGACTTGACCCTACAGCTGTGAACATTCTGCAGCAGATCATTGAGCTGGGTTCGGAGACCCACGATGCCACTGCTGTGGCCTCTGTGGTTGCTATGGCGCCTGGGACAGTAACTGTTGTGAAACAGGTGAGGTTCCTCTGCCCAGATTATTTGTCTCCTCAAGCCACTGCCCGTCTTCCCCATTTTGTTTTCAGAATTTTGCCTTGCCTAGCAGAGAATTTGAAATGAAATTGGTCTTGTCTCCGTGGATTATTATGGGGCTGTTTTTCAATGACTCTGTTTGTGCAGATGTGTTGGAGAAGGGTTAGTATATTTTAGAAACACTGAGGAGACTCTCAATTTCTTTTTAGAGAATCATAGAATACAAATAAGCATAATGAGACCCTACCAGGAAGGAAACTAGTAAACTAGTAGGAAGTGTGGGGATAGCCAGAGATGCCCAGGAGTATTTCCTCACGGACTGTCCTTTTAAAAGAAACGTCATGGCTTTAGATTCATACAGGAGAGGAAGAAAATGATGAGTTTGGGAAGAAACATGTTTCTACCAAGTTGTCAGTGCTTGATTCATTTCCTCCTCTGACATCAGTAGTCTTCACCAGTCTGTTAGAATATACTGCATGTGATAATCCGAGTTTCATTCGTTTACTCATCCCTGTCTCTTTAGTACCTGCTTCAGGTTTTAAAAAAGTTAAACTATGCTGTGGGCCAATGATCTGTACCCTGTCAATTGTATTTTAATGAAATGCTGATTGGCCAGTAGCCAGGCAGGAAGTACAAGTGGAGCAAGGAGAACAGGAGAATTCTGGGAATAGAAAAAAGTCAGTCTGCAGTCGTCACCCAGACAGACACAGAGCAAGAAAGATGTGACTGCCTTGCAAAAAAGGTACCAAGCCATGTGGCTAATGCAGACAAGAATTATGGGCTAATTTAAGTTATAAGAGTTAATAAGAAGCTTGGTATACTGGGCCAATCATTTTATAGTTAATGTAGACCTCTGTGTGATTTTTTTTGGACTTAATGACTGTGGGAACTGGGCAGGACAGAAATCTCAGTCAACAAAACTAGTTCACACAGCTATTTTAAAGGCAGAAAACAAAGCCAGTAAGCACACCAGAACCAGGAAACTATATACTTCAAGTTCATGAAGCCAGTTTAAATATAGATTATAAAGGTTTGCATGGATATGTGTTCTTTTATCAGTCACTTGGTATTTATTGAGTACTTGCTGTTGTCAGTGAGTTTTGTGTGCTGGAGTTCCAGGAAGGAACCAGTGGCTGCCATCGAGGTGTCTACTCTCCGTGGAAAGAAATTAGACAGGAATGAAGTGGTATGCTACGGAGAATGCGAAATGGTGAACAAACAGAGCCGATGTTTACAGCATGGGGCTGAAGGCTCTTGAGACAAAGGGTTGTTGGGGGAAGATGTCTCTGAAATTTCAGGAGAAACTTAAAAGACTAGTGATAGCCAAGCTTTACTGTGAAGTTAGTACTGAGAAATAAGAACGAAACGTGAGACATTTAACTTCAAGGGGAAAAAAAAATAAGTTTTCTTTGCACGACAAAGACAGTTCTTAGACTGGCTCTCCTGAATCATATGTCCTGGCTACCCACCTTTGAAGTTAAGAGTGGAGATCTCACTGTTGTTTCTACGACTGTACTCAATGGTTTCTCAGTGGATGAGGCAAAGCATGAAAAGTTCCCGCCATGAAAATCTCTGGGACAATAGGAACTTTTGGTTTAACATGGATTTCTCCATCCTTAGACAAGACTTGCCCTGTAGTGGAGTATTTGAATTGAGTGTCTGAAACTCTTACACCACAGTGAAGTTTCCCTCCAGGCCTTGGACAGAAGTTGAATACCAGAAAGACGGATGCTGAAGTCTGCAGTGTCCTGATTGAAAATACACATCCCAGCTTCTTACTTGGCATTTGCTAGGTTGCAGACTCCAGGTTGTCTTCCGTATCTTCTGGTACTCCTCACTTGTGTCCTGAGATGTGGAATCTTTGGAATCTTGAAAAAGATCTGGTACTTACTGGAACAGGGTCTGACTAGGGCAGGAGTGGGAGGGCTTTGCTTGGTTCACACAGGTTAATGGTAGAGAATTCAGAAGGTGTAACTTATCGTCGTCTATATATTCTTTTTATGAAGGATGTTGATTGGCTGCTACTCAGGGATGTGGTTTATTGAGTGTCACGGTCAGTGCTGCCGTACGTGAAGTTGTGAGCTTCTCTCCGTCAGACTGGCAGTACCACAGAGCACAAGGCAGATCAGCATCAGTGCGACCTGTGTAAGCAAGTACAGATGTTCACAGGAGGAGACAGTGGTACCCCTGAGGGAGCCTTCTTTCGTACTTCAACCCAGAGCTGCAAGTGGAACTGTGAACCTAATCATGAGGGACTCCATTTGGAAATGTTCCCAAGTGTGTGTGTGTAGCACAGTCATCATCTCGTGTGCCTGCCTGAGCCTCCCTTTCAGTAACTGTAACACATAATGAATAGAAGAATAAGGAATAGGTGATGGATGGATGGATGGATGGATGGATGGATGGATGGATGGATGGATGGTCAGATAGACATTAATCTGCCCACACCTGTACCAGAGAGACTGAAGTATCTCAAGCTCTTGCAGGTGAGGAACTGACCTTTTCTCCGATTAAATTATCCCATCATTTACATTTAATCTGGTGGTTTTTATTGGGTGGGATTGATTATTTTTCTTTCAGGAAATTGCATGTGCTAATGAGACTGCCGAGCCGCTGATGGAGTCCTATAACCCCTGCTGGGAAGCAAGTTCTCGCCCTCTCCTCATGAGAGGAGCATAGGGCTTCAGTATTGACGACTTCCTCTTGCTCCAGTCCAAGCCACTACACAAATAAATTGCCCAATAACAACTGAGTATTTTTGCTTGAACTGTTGGTTTCATGTTTTGACTCTCCAATCACCAGTTAATCCGTACTGAAGAGAAAAAGCAAGGATGTGTTGTAAAAGCACATGAGGAACTATAACAATGAATTTTTAAAATGCTGTTACATACCATAATTTTATGTATTTTAAAACAGAATTGTCTGTTTTATGTGCATATTCTATAGGACCCAAGTGAATTCCAGGTTATTTTTATTGATTCATTTTTTTATATGTGTGTATGGTATATGTTTATGCATGTATGTGTGTTTGCATGCATGGCTGTGCCCATGCATGTACCTGTGGAGGCTAGAGGTTGATACTGAGTGTCCTCCTCTGTCACTCATCACCTGATTGTGTCTCTCACTGAATCTGAATTCTATGCTTGGTTTGACTAGTTGAGCAGCTAGCCCCTGGGGTCCCCGGGGTCCCCCTCTCAACACTGGGATGACAGGAATGCACTGCCATTTCTTGCTTGTTATGTGGCTCTTATAAGGTGATATTTATTGTGGCTCCTGGATTCAAAGGTTTCACTCTGTGTTGTTTTAGCTGCATCCCTTGGGCCAGGAGTGCATGGTGAAGCAACGCTGCTCACCTGGTGGCCCTTGAGACACAACACTAGAGAGAGAGGGGTTGGGGATCCAGATATTCCATTTCGGGACCTGCCTTCATGATCTTACTTCCTTCTGCAAGGCCCGATTCCTGAAGGTTCTCCTTACCCCCTACCAGTGCCACCCTCCAGACAAAGTCTTCAAGGCATGAGTCTTTGGAGACATTCTGAAGTATAGCAATAAGTAAAAGTGATGAATCCCCAGTTTCCAAGCTTGCTGAACCCACTGTCACCCTCCATCTGGACTATGTGTGTGAAGAGAAGCTGTTCTGCTGAGGGACTTCCAAGTGCAGACCCTGGTCTGGTGCCTTGGAAGTTTCTTGCAAAGAGATCCCAGCCTGGATTCTTCCCCTGGCTTGTGAAGCTGAGCATGACCAGAGACTGTAGTCAAATAATGGGCTGGGGCATATGGGAAAGGATTTAGATGCAGCTTCAAAGTCCATCTTCGTGACCATTTTAAGGAGAACGTTCTCTTCTGTTTTATTATAATTATGTATAATTATTATAATTATGTATCAGGCAGCCTGGCCAGAGAATCCTACATGGTATGGAGGATATCTGCCAGCTGAAGCACCTTAAAATGAGACATGGGGAGGCCTCTCCTCTTTCCTTGACCTCAGAACAAGCTAAGCAAGGTCCACTTTCTTTTCCTTTGTCGTCCCTTTAAGTGCAAATAACATAAAATAATGGGATTTGATGGTTTTGTTTGTGAAGGGCACTTTTTGACATATATTGGAAACAGTTTCCTCTGAGGGTCAAGGCAGTTGGGGGCTAGTGATGAAAGATAAGGTCCCAGCAGGCCTGGCCCCTCTTCCCTTCCTAGGCTGGGTTGACTTCATGTTGGTGTGCCGTGTGTGACACAGCTAACAGCTGCTTAGTCCTCTTGCCCTGTGAACAGTACCTTGGCGTCTCAGGTGTCACTCACCATCCTGTTATGGCTTTTGTCATTGTTGTGGTTCATCTAAGGGATTCTTCATAGAAGGTTAAGGAAACACGCATGTGTATATTTGTATGTTGTGTACATGTGTACTTGTGGACAGAGAACAATGCATGTCACAGGGACAGAGAGTAAACAGTTGTGGGCTCAGGGGATCTAATGCTAGATGCTAAGTATAGCCATAGGATTTCAGCAGCTGCCTCCAAGTCAAGTTTTTCTGTTATTGTTTAATCCCCCCAACTCTTCCATTTGCCTTATTGGCTTGGTTTGATATTTGAGACAGGGATTCACTTCCTAGCCCTGACTGGTCAGGAACTCGTTCTGATCCTCCTGGCTCTCATTCTATTGGTGTCTTACATGCTCAGCTCTTCTGCTCCTTTGTAAGTAGAAAAATCTCCTCAGTGACTTCTTACCCCCTCTTGCACCCATCATAGCCCCCTCTGTGACAGACTTCTCACCTCAGGTTCTGGGTTTTGTTGGTTGATCATCAGCTTTGGCTCCTGACGCAGGAACTTTGCCATAAAATTGGCTTGCTCAGAAACCCCTGCCAACTTTACTTCTGTCAGGTCCCTAATATTCAAGCAGCTGCCTCTTCACAGAGCATTTGTTCTGCAGTTGTTGATCTGTGCCCTTCAGCATGGAGATGCAGGGATGGGTGAACACACTGCATCTTACCCCTC